AGATCTGAACAATTCCCAGTAATGTTTGTAGCAAGAGGTTATGGGGGATTCTTTCTTAATAGCTCTCTCACCAGCTTTAGCCCTTCCTTTGACATTCAAAATGCCCTTGTCCTTTCAAATCAAGTCACCACCTTCTTTACTTTGTACTGGTCAGTACTACACTACACAGGGTAGAGCTGTTTTCATGCATTTTTTCCTTCTTTGTTAATTCTGGATAAACAAAATGAAAGCTGAAAGAAGGACATGATAATATATTAAGAAGGATTACAAAAGACAGCTGAAAATCTACCAACTAAAAAAGACAAGCTATGAATTTCAAACCAGGATAAAGTACATGCAGAGCTAAAGTTCATGGCTTGCTATCTTCCAAATCACTGAACATTACCTAGAATATTTTAGGTTCTTAGTAAAGACTTGGTGAATGAGTTAATGGATAAGTTCACTCCCCCATATCAGCAAACCTATTTATAGAAACTGGATCTAAGACACTCTTCCTTTTCCACCTTTGAATCCTCACATCACACCAACACCAAGGAGAAAACAAACTCCATACTGTCCCCACTTGATAAAGAGGTCAGCATTATCTTTAGAAGCTATTCTACCAACTCTGGAGACCCCATCTCTAAGGCACCATTAACCACACACATAAACCATTTAGCTGCTGAAACCTAGGCAAACAGTGCTAGACTAGCAAGGAGTAAGAATAAGAGACTATGAAAAGAGGTGCGGAAGACATACATTCTTGTCCCACGATGTCCCAAAATGAACGGAACTCTTTAGAGGGACTCAGTGAAAAGCAGCTCAGTGTTCAATCTGAGGTCAAGTGCATGGGGACATGAACATCACAGCCATGTGATGCAACCAACTACAGCATCTATGCAAGTGGAGCTAGGAAGATAACCCTGTAACTGTGAGTTCCACTGGCTGCTGATCCCACACCAGAAATCATTCTTCTCTGCTTCATCCTTCTCTCCACACTCCTGCCTCTCTCCCTCCTTTCCTTTCCCTATGACTTCCATGTTTGTAGATAAATGTCTTCAGATGCTTCAGTCTGACCCTTTTCCAAGCTATGTCTTTAAGTCTTCTGCCCCTACTTATTGACACTTTAACTGTCTTTTTCACAGGTGCTGGATCATGAAATAATATCAAAGCTGGCATATTCAATCCTGAAATGCTTTTTGTGTTCTGCTGTTCCATAATGTTGAGGGACTGGTGCTCAGGGCACCAGACCTGCTTCATTTCTTCCAAGCTCAATCTGCTCTCCTAATTTTCTGTCTTTTGTAACTAAAGCCAATACCTTCCCTTTCTTGCATCATAAAAAAATGGGTGCATTCTTGAAGCTTCCTTCTCTCTAACCTTCAGGCCAAATAAGAGTGAAACTTTCCTACTTACCTTAGGTAGGTAAGTATATTTGAACTGCTCAAATATTGCAATTAAATATTTTTCATCATGTTCCTAGAAATTCAGCATGCTTGAAAGAAATGTTATAATACAGCTTTGAGAAATTAGTAAATAAAAATATACATGAGTATCACTATGATAATTAACATTAAAGATGCTGGTGGTCACTCTTAATTCTATATTTTTTCCTGATCATGCTTTAGAATTCCTTGTTCATTGTAGCCTTATTTTGTTGTTGTTTATATATCAATCAAGTATGTTTTGCATGCCTATACAAAGTAAAGGACAGGAACCACACCCAAAGTCATCAGTGGTTTGCTTACTTCCCTCAGCATGATTTTGGTGAGATTCATCTCTGTTGGTAAGCATCTGGATGACCCCTCCCTTCTCAAGAACACAGTTTCCTCCTGCATGATTGAGTCCTATCCTACCCTTGCATTTTCCTATTCTACTCTTGAATTTCTGGCTGGTTCCCAAATATTGCTACTATCATCACTGTTGTTATAAACATGGATTTTCTGACACATGTGCACAATCAATAAAATATCAGAGAACAGAATTATTATATCATAGAATATGTGTTTCTTTAATCAGCTAATGTATCATATTCCAAAACAGGTTTGATGGTTCCTCTCTCCTTCAGGTGGGCACCAGAAAATGCCTTTTCTCTGTGGTTGAGTATTCAAACATACTACAGAAGACGTTTGATTGCTTCTTACAAAGTAGGTATCTAGTAAAAGTTGGGCAGGATATTGGAGTGGGTCACCACCTGGCAGGTAAGGGGTTATTTAACTAGAAATATATTTTATTTCACGGACTACTAAGGCCAGATACAAGGTGAGCAATCTGTTTTCCAAGACTTCCCATAGACTATGCTACCAGAGAGTGCTTTGGAAATGTCGTCAAGTAAGTCACACCAATATATTTTACCATTAATTGTGAAAATAATACAGCCAATTTTATCTATTTAATTTTATCAGTAATTAGGAAATCCCTATTTTAAAGCTAACAAACATTTTTTAAAGTCCTTTCTACTAACAGTATCACTTATCCAGAATAAGATCTGTAACTACCTCAATACTAGGCTGAAAGACTATGGAAAGAAGGAAAGAATATAGCACAAAGGAGATTTTTAGATACAAATGCAGTGGTCATGCCCCATCCTTTAAGGCCTAGAGAGGTTCATGTTTCCCATGATATTACTTAACATCTAACTATGGTGCTACACCATGAAACACTTACAGAGCTGGAGGCCTTAGAAAGGCCAGAAGACTTTAAAATGCATGGCAACCCCATGTGGGGATATCCTGAAAGTAATGTCCATGTCCAAGTGTCCAGTGGGGAAGAATTAGGAACTCTGTCTAAGGCACTGGAAGAAGATCCATCAGCCATACAGAGTTACTAGTGAAGAACAGACACCAGTATTAATGAGAAGCATATGGCGATACTCCTTGCCAGGAAATCCTGACAATGTCATGCACAGTAGAATTTCTGGTTTTTAAGTTTGTTTTTCTTTAAACATTAGATAGATCAACTCCTTTATGTTAGAATTCTCACAATCTATTATGCACATTAGGGTTTCTGCATTTTCAAGTTTGATTTTTTCTTGGTATTAAATAGATCAACTCTATCTTTATAGCATATAAAATATAGTACTTCTAGATGTTGATAAGCTGTGAAAAAAGCATAAAAGGAACTTTTATGAGACTGACACACTGCCTACTGTGCTAATGAGGTTCCCTAAAGGAGCTTTCTAGACACATTTTAAGGCAAATTTTAAAATATGACTAATATGTTTAATTTCACCATTATCATTAAAAAAACTACCCTTCCAAATCTCAAAATAAGGTAGACCATATGCCTTAGCCCATTACATAAATATGCTCTTGAAAGACAAAAAAAATCATTATTTTTTAAATCAACAAAACATGTTTCAGAATTCCACCATGAAAGTCACACGAGGAAATGAAGAACCCAGCAGCCCTTCCTCTGGCAACCAATAGAATCTTTCACCACTCCATTTTTAAATCCCCCAGAGGCTCTCCTTTACTGACCTAAAAAATGAAAGGGGGCAGCAAATCTGAGTGTTATAATGGGGAAAAATTCTCCCCAAACTTTTCCAAAACTGATGCTAAAAATCCTCCATCGATGCAACAATGGCTTGACAGTTTAGATCCAAGCTCTGTGCTAAACAGTCAGACGTGTCTTCTTCTCTAAACACAACATATATCTTCTCTTCTATGACACATATCAAAATACCTGATGTGTGAAAGAAACTATATACCCTGATACCACAAGCCAAGAAGGGGCCCCCTTTCCTTCCAGCTCTGACAACTTAAGCCACGTGTGAAATACATCGCCCTATTTCAAGGCCCATATCACTTCTATCCTTTTCTGGCAATATGGCTCAAAGAGGATTTTATACTTAAAACCAGCAGAAAACATTAAACAAGTGTCTGTGCAAGGGGGCAAATTGTTCCTTAGTGGTATAACAAATCTTTTAATAAATAAGTGTTCAAAGATATTTTGTTAATTAACACTTCATAACAAAATTAGTCAAGATTAGCTACACCTATGAAGAAAAAAAACCTACATGTGGAACCTGTCATTTCTTCCTGATCATTTATTATTCTTCTTGTACCAGGATCATTTTTCTTTCAGAATATGCATTGTTTTTTTAAAGGCTCTGCATCAGATGGCACAAAACATTCTCCTTTGCATGTCTATGGGACATGACTTGGGGGCCAACGGACAAGAAACTATGAACCAAAAACCTTCCATTTTTACTGATATCTGATCTGTGAATATTTTTATGTCAAAAAATAGAAAGTATCCGTAATGATGGTAATAATACCCTGTTCTCAAATGACCATGGGCCAAGCTCTTCAAATATATTATCCCTAAACATTCAACAAGGAAATTATCATCATCATCATCCTCTTCTTGATACATTGCTTGATTACTTCAGATTGAGAGAGAGTAAACCACTAACACAAGATTTTTACAGAATATATTATTCCATACCTAGTCCTTATGGCCATATGAGAAGAATCAAAGCATAGTCACCAGAATATTTCATATAAATCATTATTCTCTTTCTGATACAGTGTCTCTCAGTTTCCAGAGGAAGTAAATAGGTTGAAGATGGACTCTGTCTGAAATTTTTCACAGAATTTGCTAATATATTCAGATTAAGTCATGCAGAAAAGATCGTAGATATCCAGGGGCTGAAACTAGTGCCAAATGCTCAGCAAAAGGAAATGGTGCCACACATTACTGAGATCAGCTTTGAAAAAAGGGATTGGCTCTGAATCTACATGTTGGCAACATCACTTGAATCTAGCCTTATGTCATCATAAGAACTATGTAAATCTGAGCTTCTTTTCACCGAAACCTGTGAGACGCCTCCACTTAGAAACAACAGCAATTAAGAAAAATGGGGATTGGTTTACAATATTACTCTTTGAAGGAAAACACCATCAAAGGATCTACACATGGAACAGGAGAAAGAACAGAATAGTGCTGTAAGCTTTTAATTGGATTTCTTAGAATTAAGCATTCTAAGTAGAAAAAAAAGAGGAAAATAAGGTTTTCCTTACCTGACTGGACCACCTTTATCTTTTTTTCCCATAGTCCACTTGGGAAAGTATGAAACAGGCAGGAGTAAGTGCCAATGTCTGCTTCAGAGGCGTTGTAAAAGGAAAGACTAATATTGCGGAATCCCACTGTTGAGTTCAGAAAGTGCACTCTATGGAGGTAGTTGTGATTTATATGCATATGATAGTTAGGGTTGTAAACAGCTATGTTCACAGTCTCTGTGCCACTGATCTTAGTCCACTCCACTTGGGTTAAGTTATCCATCAATGGATATACACATTCCAGAGTCATAGTCTCAGAGAGCTGAACAGCTGTGTCCCAAAAGGTTGCTTCACACCATGCTAAAATACACATCACATAAACTGAGTAAGATCCAATGATGACAAAACCAAATAGATAAATTATACAAGACTTAACAAATAGTCTGATAAGTTCATAGTGAATGCTGACAATGTCATCTACAAAATTGGCCTTTGTAAATTTCATTATTTCCAAACAAGTAAGAAATTACCTATGGTCACATGCACATGTCACACTCAAACACCAAAAACACAGCCAAACTTTTAAATTAAGACATAGGATTGCCTTTACCTTTGTGCACATGAAGAATAGCCAAAAGCAAAATAAGATAAGCCATCTCTTGAAACAGTTCAGAAGGCTAGCCTGCATATAAAAAAAAATACATATGATGTTATATTCACAACTCAACACAAAGCACCGTTTCCTTCCTCTCAGATGTTATCATCTGCATCTTGTGCTCTGAAGTGTGATCACAGGAAAAGTTTTAACTTCAAAAGCAGCTTTACTCTCTCTCATACAGGGATGGGTAAAGTTCAGTTATTTCTCTGTCACATAATCGGTTTACTTTCAAGAAATAATTTTCAAGGAAGTTTCTTTCAGATGTTTACTGAGTGTGTCCTCTGTGTCAGACTCAGCTCTGTGCAACAAGAATACACAAAAGTACATCTTAAAAATAATATCCTTGCCATTGTCTTAGGAAGAGATTGATGCAACACTAAAGGTGTACTAGATATAGTAAGTTGAAAGTGGCAAGTACCTGAAGAAAAGTGAAACAAAGCAAGAAAGTCGAGCTCTTTTGACACAGGCTGGTCCAGGAACTCCTCTCTGAGAAGTTGGGTGGGGGGGAGTGCTCCTGATG